TTCCATTTAACTTATTCAACTAATTTAGCTTATTATAATATAATAATATAATAATAATAAAACTTTTCCCCGTCAGTGTGTGTGTCCAGTATTTGTCATCTTGGTTATTTTCTCATGTGCAGAGCTCCACATAAGAGTTTGTTTCTGTAGTGATTCTGTTATACATCGCATCTTGGAAAAAAAGACTGAAATATTTTAAAGGACTGCCTGGGCAAACATCCAGATTTCAGGGCAATTTTGGTTCATAATCGAGTATAAAGCTCAGATAGTTTGTTGGGATATCGCAGGACTCCACACAGACGCATCAGCGGCATTCTCACCTTCTCCCCGAAAGTCCGTCACTATCGCTGTTTTCCACTTTATAATCAACTTCAACATCATCACTTTGAAATCTATAAAAGTCACTTTCTCTAAACTTATCCATAAAATACGTCCGCTCCTCATTATTTCTAAAACTGTGCGCCGCAGCGCCGCGATCTTTCCATTGCACGTGTTTCGTGTTGTGTTTTTTCCGGAAGCTACCATCGTCACTACTTCGATTAACTTCGGAAAAAATCGGCGAAAACATATCCTTGAATCCTATTGGTCAGTCTAGTGTGGGTTGTAGTGGCCCCCACCGATCACAGTCTCTGTTTAAATGTGAAAAACCGAGCCATTTCTAAAGGTCGTCAAATCTCGTCTTTAGTGAAACAGCGGAGGTGTCAAAAGTCGTCATTAAGGGTTCAGGGGGGTCGTCAAATGTCGTCTTCATGGGGGAAAGAGTTAATGCAGCTTTGACACATTTGTTTACGTTTTACAGAAATGAAACTTAAAACCACATGACTCATTTGCATAAACTCATTTCACTCGCTTTATTTATGTTGGGCACTTTATTTATTTTGGCTTCTGTTGTGATGAAAAGACTGAAAAGTGTTTTGTCTTTTGGACGCATGTGACTCCACTTTATGTTGCAATAACTCAGATACTGTGTTTACATGCGTCATGATGAAACTGGGACACTGAGGTGCTGTAAACACACTCACTAATGTGGGACTGAGACACAACTCCAGTGTTTGTGTCAGACGCAGACTCGTCTCCTCACACTACACACAACAACATACATTCGGGTTGTCGATTAAAAATGAACGTGATCGATGAAATTCTTAATGATCAATTACCGATTAGTCGACTAATCATGTGCCCATCCCTAATTCTGACTGTGAGCGAGGTCGCCTCTCCGCAGATCTGACAGAACATTCCAGGCAGAGCAATGACATATCCACAGAAACATGCAGATGACACTCTCCACCAGAAAAGTTACACAATGCACCTTTAAAGAACATGTATTATGCAAAATTAACTTTTTTAATGTATTAGGGTTTTGTTTTTTGGTTTTTGTTTTAGTTTTTAACCATCGTTTATTGTTGTCCCTAGTTAAATACATACTTGGAGTTGTAAATTACTTAATTCACGCTTTCATTAATCCATTAACCTGCAGTTTGCACTTTGCATATTGCCTGTTTTGTTCCGTCATTGATAAAAAGTCTGTGCTTCACCTGTCCAAAAAACATCACTGGACTCTTTCTATGGTCAAAATGTGCTAAAAACAAGAGTATAAGAATACAGTATCACAATGCAAGTATAAAACAAGATTATTTTGCAGTTTTTCTGGTGTTGCCGTGACGATAAACTCTGCTATGCCCAGTTTATAAAAGGGGGAAAGTATCTGTATGTGTGTATCCTGTTTAATGGCATTTAGCTCCCGTTTAATCCCGACAGTGGTTCTTTTGGCTCATTCCCGAGTCCTCACAGCGGCTCGGTCTGTAATATTATGTAATGAGATTGTAGCCGACTGGCCCAGATTTTCCTCTTCATTTAGCCCGACCTTTGGAGACAGCTCCTCTACTACAGACTCACGACGCAAATGATGAGAAGGATTCACGAGAAACTGAGTCAAAATGCACAAAAATACTCATCAGACTTATAGTTTTAATGCGTACAGTGGATTTAAAAGTGCACTATGTCACTTTTCTGAAGGATGGTCCTCTACATGCTTTTAGATATTGTTGCTTTGTCTGGAAAATCCCACAGTATGGCATTAAAGGGCCCTTCTCATGCAAAATCAACTATTCAGAGCTTTCTAACCTTTTAAGAGTGATGTGTGGGCCTTGTATTTGTCGCCCATGTGGTTTTTAGATTGATTCAGCGTTTTGTTTTTGTTTTTTTTAACAAATTGCAACGTATTTCTGCCACCCTTCTAAAGCCAGGTCTAATCTATGTCTCAAACAGGATTTAACAGCAAACCAAGTAATCCAAAGTATTCAGATTACATTACTCACTTTAAGTAATTTAATGGATTCCGTTACAAACTACATTTTGAGGTCTGTAATCTGTAATCTGTAGGGGAATACATTTTAAAAGTCACCTTCCCAACACTGTGTTCAGTTGATGTGGACGCGGTGCTTGAGCTTCGTGCTCCTCAAATTCCTCGTCCGATTCTGGGTCCAACACATGCGGCTGAACGCGCTGTATCTCCATGATGAATAAAAGTTTATTCCTGCCTCTATCAGGGTGCACGTCTGTGTCCCCCTCCCTCCCTGAGATGGCGGAGGAAGGGCGGCTCACTCAGAGCCTACGTCACGTTTGGAGGGCGGAGCCTGTGCTTTCTCAGGACGGGCAAGGGGAGGAGCAATAGTCGGACTTTCATAGTTCCTGGTCTGTGACTGTCTCCAAGAAATCAGTAAGATTTCAGAACTATTGTGTAATGGATGTTCCAAAACCCAAATTGTGCTTCTATATGTGCAGAAGATACAATGTGAAAAGAGTTATTTTGCATGAGATGGGCCCTTTAAACTTGTGTATCTCCATAGCGACAAACCATTAAAGTCTCTTTCCAAAGCGAGGAGAAAATTCAGTTTGTCGACCGGACCGAAGTTATTTTGGTTGAAGACGTTTCACAGTTCATCCAAGCTGCTTCTTCAGTTCTGGTCAGACGCTGGTGGACACTTCCTTATATCTGTCTGCAGGGAGGAGCTAACTACACTGAAACTACACTGAAACTAACGCACACTTGTTTACAGTTTCTGTTTGTTAGTTCGGCCTGTTGACCTGTACAGGGTGTGGGGTCTAATTAACAGAACAATTCATGGTCATAATGGAGCTTCCACACCTCTGGACCTGACCTGACTACACCTGTTGTTCTCTTGTTTGTTTTGATTCAGGTTTGAGGATGGAGTTGTAAATAGGAGATAGATGGTGTCTGACTCCTCCATTTCTGTTTATAGAATGATTCTCATTCTTAACAATAATGTCTTCTTTCATTCTGCTCTCAAACCAATTCTTTTCTCTGGCTAAAATCTGTACCTCACTGTCCTCAAATGAGTGTCCTGAGGCTTTTATTTGGAGATGAACAGCAGACTGAGGTCCTGTGTTGCTCTCTCGTCTGTGTCGGTTCATCCTCTTGTGAAGTGGCTGTTTTGTTTCTCCAGTGTCGCGGTCACGTCAGTCTTCACCGCACTGAATGGAGTAGACCACATTGTTTTGTCTGTGGCTCGGTGTTTTGTCCTTTGGGTTGGACCAGTTTCTGTCTTAAAGTGTTCGTAGGTTTGAAATAGACCGGAAGCTCATGTTGTCTGAAAATCCCCTGTAGTTTTTCCCGAAACACCAGCCACGTACGGAATAGTTCCCCCCTTTCTCCTGGGTTCTGATTCTCTGTTGTCCTGTTTTTTAGTTCTCTTGGTTTTGTTGAAGGCCCATTTTAGGCAACAAGACCAAGAGAACTAAAAAACAGGACAACAGAGAATCAGAACCCAGGAGAAAGAGGGTAACTATTCTGTACATGGCTCGTTGTCGCTATTTCTGATTGTGCTTGTTTAAGTTGAAACTTATTAAAAACGTTAATATGTTGTCGTTTTTTTTGCCGAGTATAACATTAAAAGGTAAAGTGGTGATTGAAAAATGTAATGTGTTAGCACTTATAGACAGTGTTGGGGAGTAACAGATTACATGTACCGGAGTTATGTAATCAGAGTACAAATTATGAGTAACTGTATTCAGTTACAGTTACTGTTTCAGTGAGTGGTAATTGGATTACAGTTACTTTGTTAAAATAAATGGATTACGATCTTTTCTTTTTTTTTTCCCCAGTAATTCCACTCATTCCCGGAAAACAAGGTCTAAACCAGGTCTAAAACCAGGACTAAACCAGGACTAAAACAAGACTAAAACAGGACTAAAAGCAGGTCTAAACTAAACAGGACTAAACCAGGACTAAACCAGGACTAAACCAGGACTAAAAACAGGACTAAAACAGGACTAAAACAGACTAAACAGGACTAAACCAGGACTAAAACAGGACTAAAACAGGACTAAAACAGGACTTTAAACAGGACTAAACCAGGACTAAAAACAGGACTAAAACAGGACTAAAACAGGATTTAACAGGATAAACCAGACTAAACCAGGACTAAAACCAGGACTAAACAGACTAAAACAGGACTAAAACAGGATTTAAACAGGACTAAACCAGACTAAAACAGGACTAAAACAGGACTAAAACAGGACTAAACAGGACTAAACCAGGACTAAAACAGGACTAAAACAGGACTAAACCAGGATTAAACAGGACTAAACCAGGACTAAACCATGCTGGGTGGACGTGTCTCCTCCTCTTCTATCAATAATATTTTTAATACGGTTCAGTAAAGTCTGGGCTTTTTATTTTCTTTTATCAGACAAAACATCTTATGTGAAGATTTCCTCATCTTTGCTTCTCTACAGCAAATCAAGTAATCCAAAGTAATCAGATTACGTTACTCACTTTAAGTAATTTAATGGATTACGTTACAAACTACATTCTGGAATATGTAATCTGTAGGGGAATTACATTTTAAAAGTAACTTTCCCAACACTGCTTATAGAAGTGTAATACTCCCTCTTTAAGATAAAAAGTGATATAAGTAAAGTTGTATTAGTGTTGCATACAGATTATTAAGTACACTTTTTCTTTGTTTGTATTTCAGGCTTCGAGAGAGTGAAAGAGGACCTGCTGCCACTGCCTTTGAAAGAAGACGCTCACTCCATTTCCAAAAGCAAGGTAAACAAGCCGCACGTAAGGCTCTATCTGCCTTTAATCCCAGGGTGTTTGTGCTCGGATTCCGTTTTAATGTGAATTTCAATGAGGCGGGAGCGTCCGGGGCTGTGTCTCCTCTTCCTCGCTGCAGACTTCAGACATGAGTCATCCCCCTGATCCGCTCTGAGCTCCGGTAAAGCTGCGCCGTGTAACTTTTCTGGCAGAGGGTCCAGTCAGAATGTTGTTTTTCCAAGTATTTTTGAGCTGTAAAACCACCTGTAATTCAATAAATGTAAAGTAGAGATGTTTAATGTCACACTGTGGAACATTCCAGGCAGAGCAATGACATAATCATATAGAAATAAGCAGGTGACGGACCCCTAACCCGAAAAATTCCATAGTGCAGCTTTAAGCAGGAGTTTGATCATCTTCTGGTCAATTCTAAAATATTAATGTGATGCTGAAGCAGACCAGGCCGCCTCACTCTTCCTCCACTGACGCCATAGCAACAGTTTTGAAAAATGTAATTGATGCAGCTGACCAGAAAGACCTGACTTAGGCTGCGTTCAGACTGCAGCCTGAAGTGACCCAAATATGATTTTTTGGCCTCTATGTTCCTGTATCTGATCTTTTAATGTCAGTCTGAACAACACGATCTGATTTTTTCAAATGTGACCCAGGACACTTGGATATGTGCTCCTGAAACTGATACATATCTGATCTTTTGACATGTGACTTCAGTCTGAACGGCCAAAGTGCATTCATCCACCTACACGTTATCAACAAGACACAAACGTCACTATTCTGCGCTGAAGTAGAGAAAATTGTTAATGAACTCAGTGTGACTGAAGTGAAGCACATCACCACTCACCACTCTTGTCTCCGTCTCCACATCCACATGTTCCTTTCAACGGACGTCGCTGCCGCTGCCCCACAAAACACCACGACCAAAAACCTCGTCCTTCTCCTTCTCAATCTCCTCCTTAAAACAAGTAAGTTGTTCATGTTCTGGCTCCGGTACGAGAGGAACTTTAAAATCTCCAGGTGCTCGATGCTGCGTCCATGTTTGGACAACTTCTGTAAACACAGAGACGCTCGCTGCGGTTGACGTCGTCGTGTCTCCAGTGTCACATGTGGGACACTTTTGGGCCGTTTAATGTTCACACTGGAGTCACATACAAGTCACATTTCACTGGAAATGTGAACGACCTCGCAAAAACATCGGATTTCACAAAAAAAAATTGGAATTGAGTGTTAAGCCCTGCCAGTCTGAACGTAGCCTTAGACCCCATTTACTCTGAAACTAATCCACGTATCACCGTATCGGAAACGATCTGCATCCAGACATGTAGTTTCGGTGTTCACAAGTCTTCCCTATCCACACAGCTTTGAGCACATTTGTTAACATTTTACAGAAAAAAACTTAAAACTGCATGGCTAATTTACATAAACTAAGAGCTCCAAAAAACAGCTCTTTCCTTGTGCGCTGATGTGGTTCAGTTTCTGTCGGACTAAAGGACACGACTCAGTGGAATATGAGTGTTCTTTCTGTGACAGAGGGATGTTCTGCTGATGGTGAGTCTGTTCTGTGTTTCTGTCGTGTTGAAGATGGTTCATGTAAAACTTTTCAGAGATTATACGTCTGCAGGTCGTACACACAGACACACGTTTATATGAATGGACATATATTCTAGCCTCTTAGTGTTTTGGCGGTGAATTACTTAGACGTACATCAGAGTATCAGTGTTTTCAGGCGTCCACACGGTGCCGGATCAGATCTGTACTCAGATGAATTTGTGGGAGCTGGAGGCACCAGATCGTTCCGTCTCTGGAGCCGTTTTCAATCGGATTAGTGTGAACGAACACTGCATCCACAACCAAAACAACTCTTAATATGTACTAGTGTGGACGGGCCTTATTTGGAAGTATAAGATCAGCTGATTAGTACATACAATACAATACTCACATACAGACAGACCAATATATCCTTTGGCCGAGATATCAGACCAGTATTTGTCCTTTTTAGTGCATCAGCTGGCGGCCAGAAATCCCACACTGAGGTCGATATTTTGTTTGGCTCGACCAGCTCCATAAATATGCATGAAAAACATATGTGTAAATGTTATGCTTAAATCAATAGAAGCTTCACTAATACGTGGAGTGGGTAATACATTCAATAGTTTTCTGACTTGACATACTTGTACCTCTCCTTGAGTAATATTTCTATTGAAGTACCAGTACTCTTAGTTGAATAAAAGTTGTGCTTCCTCTTCTCATTTTGAGTCCCATATTTTTCGGACTATAAGTCGCTCCAGAGCATAAGTCACACCAGCCAAAAAATGCATAATGAAGAAGAAAAAAACATATATAAGTCGCACTTTTTAGGGGAAATATATTTTATAAAATCAGAGACCAGGAACCGACATTTCATTTTGAAAGTCAAGTTGTAGTAAAAACAATAGAAGAGAGAACAACAGACTGTTAACGTCACATATGAACAGTTCTTCAGATAAACTATAACATAAACAACAGAACAGAACAAGTTTAACAAACTCTCCATCTCACTCCAAATCACTAAATCCATTCAATTCTTCATCCTCGGTGTCACTTCTGAGCAACTCGGCCTTGACCTCCGGAGGTAAACAGAGTGTCACTTCCTCTTCTGTGTCGCTGTCGTCAGACTCAGCATCAGTTCCAGTTAGAATTATTCGGGTCTTTCTGAATCCCGACAGGATGGTTTCGGTGTCACTGAAGTCCAGGCTTTGTCCATCCATCCAGTGACTTCAGGAAAGTTTCATGGTGCATCCTCCCGGTGTTACAAGTTTCTCTCTCACTCCAAACTTTCTTTCTGCTGCTCGATTACCATTTTCGGCTGCAGATTTCACAACTTGCAGCTTGTAATCTGAAATTTTAATATATACCGTATGTTCCGGGCTATTAGACGCACTCTTAAGCCTCTAACCGCATCAAAAAACGACCGTGCGCCCCACAATCCAGAGCGCCCCATACACGAATCCACTCGGGTGTCCCAGCACGACTTCAGTAAACTACAAAGCCGCACCACCCGCAGAACACACAAACACACACGGAGCAGACAGCGACCGCACGGCAAAACACACCCACAGACACACTCATCACTCCACGCCGACGAGGAACAGAACGAAGGAACAAACCGAAAAAGCGAGTGCAATGTGCCGCTTCTAGACACGACTGAATAACTGAGTCACTGCGAACACGCCGACAATCCGTTGGTCCCAGACAGCACCCTCCCTACACGCCACAACTGAACAAAGCCCAGAGTCACCGTGAACGAACAAACAAACAAAACCACTCACCCATCACACTGTTGTGTTTCCTTTAAAGTCCAGTGCGGTTTATTTGTGAAAAAAGTTCGAAAATAGACCATTTAATGACAGTGCGTGTTATAATCCAGAGCGACTAATAGTCCCGAAAATACGGTAAGTCGCACCCGAGAATAAGTTGCAGGAAACACCCAAACCATGAAAAAAAGTGCGACTCATATATATCCAAAAAATACAGTAAATCTAAAGTGACAATATGAAATCATCTGAACATGTGTTTCTCGCTCTGCTCCTTTAAATCTGATTTAGTTTCAGTTTCAGTTTGTGCTCCAGAGTCTGTGAATTATGTAAAGTTTCTAGTGACGGATAATAGGTGACAAAAATGCAAACGCAAGCGATGCATTTTTCTGACATTAATTTAACAAACGTTGGCGGTGCAGCTGCTCGGTGAATACGACGAACTGAACATCTCCTGTTTTCTTTTTCAGTCTGAGACAAAGTTGTACAATGGCTCAGACAAAGACGTGTCAGCCTCCGGGGGAAAACTCACCAAGAAGGAATCGCTCAAGGTTTGTGCTTTTTAATCCTGTTTAAATGTATTTAGACGTTAAAGATGCAGTGTGTAACTTTAACAGTGTTGGGAAGGTTACTTTAAAATGTAATCCCCTACAGATTACAGATTACACACACCAAAATGTAGTTTGTAACGGAATCCATGAAGTTACTTACAGTGAGTAATGTAATCTGAATACTTTGGATTACTTGATTTGCTGTAGAGAAGCAAAGACGAGGAAATCTTCACATAAGAAGTTTTGTCTGGTTTAGTCCTGTTAAATCCTGTTTTAGACCTAGTTTAGACCTGTTTTTGTCCTGGTTTAGATCTGGTTTTAGACCTGGTTTAGTCCTGGTTTAGACCTGGTTTTAGACCTGGTTTAGACCTGGTTTGGACCTGGTTTATACCTGGTTTTAGTCCTGGTTTAGTCCTGGTTTAGACCTGGTTTTAGTCCTGGTTTAGATCTGGTTTGGACCTGGTTTAGTCCCAGTTTAGACCTTGTTTAGACCTGGTTTTAGACCTGGTTTAGATCTGGTTTTAGACCTGGTTTATACCTGGTTTTAGTCCTGGTTTAGATCTGGTTTAGACCTGGTTTAGTCCCAGTTTAGACCTTGTTTAGACCTGGTTTTAGACCTGGTTTAGATCTGGTTTTAGACCTGGTTTAGACCTGGTTTAGTCTGGTTTACTGGTTTAGACCTGGTTTATACCTGGTTTTAGTCCTGGTTTAGTCCTGGTTTAGATCTGGTTTGGACCTGGTTTAGTCCCAGTTTAGACCTTGTTTAGACCTGGTTTTAGACCTGGTTTTAGACCTGGTTTTAGACCTGGTTTGGACCTGGTTTAGTGTCTGGCAATGAGTGGAATTACCGAAAAAAACAGGGATACAGCCCAAAATGTGAAAACAGGAAAATCCCTCTGTGTAATCCATTTATTTCAACAAAGTAACTGTAATCCAATTACCACTCACTGAAAGAGTAACTGTAACTGAATACAGATACAGTACTATATACTATACTATACTATAATTTGTACTCTGATTACTGGTACATGTAATCTGTTACTTCCCAACACTGAACTTTAACTAGACACGTTTATTGATATATTAGATGAAAACAGAGCTGTTGTAAAGTGTTAAAGATGTTTCTGCTTTGTGTGTCCATCGCTCATTCATTTAAAAGTGCATTTATAAAACGTGCTGCTGTTGTTTTCACGTCTGACTGAATCATTAAAGTGTCTCTGCGTGAGTGAGACACACGTTCAGCTTTGTGGCTGATCCGTCTCGAAAAGGTTGCGTGTCCAAATTTACAAAAACAACAATAAATCATCAGGGCGACCGTCGCTGAGAATAACAAACAAACACGACATCAACAATCTGCTTTAAAATCACCAGACAGAGGAAGATATCATCAAAACAGCAACAACGTTAGTGCATTTCAGTGTTTATCAGACCTTTAAATTCTTTATAATTAAACACCAGCGGCATGTTTATCTGCTTTTCAATCAGAGAAACTTTTACTGCCGATGTCACTGAACGCTTAATAGGAATTTGCTTCAGGATGCTGCAACATAAAGTAATGAGTGTGTTTAAATGCACATCAGTATCACAGTTATTATCCATATCCCGGTTATGTCAGTATTCGGGATCTGCAGTTTACATGTGCGCTGAGAAACCGGGACACTCATATCCCCCCGAACATGATCAAATGGAGTATCATCCCGGTTTCTTGACATAATCAAGCGCAAAAATGAACTAATTAAATTGAATAAACCAGGAAAAATAAAAATAACAGCGCTAAGGAGCGATGATCCACTGTACGGATCAAACCGAACGTTTCCAAACAGCAGATTCTTAATTAAAATCTTCTGCATAAATAAACCCAACTTTACAACATATAAACCACAACCACTACAGAGCCCGTTTGATAATATAGAAGCTTTGCACCGTCACGTGTCCCTATAGCAACGGTAACTACGCCGCCATGACACCGGGCACACTATGGCATTGACTTCAGCAGCATCAGAGAAACATGGGCAGGTTTTGTTGTGTATTTGGTTGTTCTAGACGCTCTGAAAGAGATAAAACGATTCGTTTCTTCATTATTCCTCTGGAAATTACTCATCAGGATCAAACAAGGGAATTATCGAAAAAAAAGACGTGGATTATGGCTAGAAAACATAAACCGCGAAGAGATTTCCTATGTTACCATCAAGACACCCGAAGTTTCATCAAGGTATTTGCTATTTAAATTGTTTCATAGTTTATTTAATGAAAGAAGCACATTTACTGAACTAAAATGTCATTAATTTATCCAGGAAAACCTGCACTAGTTTACGATTCAACGAACGCTATGATCAACATGACGCACGAGTCGAAGAGTCTGTGAGCCGAACCTCGAAAGAATCGACCATGAAAAGATCCTCGCGAACGTTAGAAAGATCCGCTCGCAAAAAGAGATTAATTCTAGAAGACATAGTTGTGGATAAACAAGACAATAAAGAAAACATGGATCCTACGACGAGTGACATGTTTATATGTGCGCTGGAAGATACAGTTTCTACTGCCACTCACACTGCAAATGTTTTCTTTTTACATTTTAGTTCAGTAAATGTGCTTCTCTCATTAAATAAACTATGAAAACAATTTAAATAGCAAATACCTTGATGAAAGTGACGTGAGTGTGTCTTGATGGTACCATAGGAAATCTCTTCGTGGTTTATGTTCTCTAGCCATAATTCCCTTTTTTTTTTTTTTTATAATTCCCTTGTTTGAGCTCCTGTTGAGTCATTCCCAGAGGAACAGTGAAGAAACGAATCATTTTATCCCTTTCAGAGCGTCTAGAACAACCAAATACACAACAAAACCTGCCCATGTTTCTCCGATGCTGCTGAAGTCAATGACATATCGTGCCCGGTGTCATGGCGGCGTAGGTACCGTTTATGTCCCTACTGTTGTGATGAAAACACTGGACACATGTGAACTCAACTTTATGTCGCAGTATTCAGGATACTGCATATTACATGCCACAGTATCCCGGTTACTATCGGAATATACAAGCTACAGTATCCCTGTTTCTCATGACCAGGATACTGCCTTATTCGAGATACTGAAACCGGGATACTGCGTTTACATGCACCATGATGAAAGCAGGATACTCAAAAAACCCCATCATACCCGGGACACTGATGTGCATCTAAACACACTCACTGACTAATAATTATGGACGGACAATATCGACCGAGTTTTTCTATATTGGTCGATATTTGTGGACATACCAGTTTGTCAAAGCCTGATCCCGTCAGATCTCAGAAGTTCAGCAGGTCTGGGTCTGGTCAGGACTTGGATGGAGACACTGGGAATTCCAGGAATCACAGGAGGAGCCAGTGGCAAAAACTGCCGTTGTGTCCTTAGGCAAGACACTTCGCCCACATTGCCTAGTATGAAAGTGGTGTGTGTGTGAGTGTTGGTGGTGGTTGGAGGGACCGACGGCGCAGGTTGGCAGCCTCGCTTCTGTCAGTGAATGAATAATGAACTGTAAAGTGCTTTGGGGGTCTTGAAAGGTGCTATATAAATACAATGATTAATTCATTAATTGATATTTGATACCGATATATATTTTTCTGCACTGTCCCAGTCTCTGTCCCAGTTTGTCCTCCGTTTGTTTCGCTTAATGGGTTTTATAATCCAGTGCAACAGAAAAACAGAAAGACATTTTGGTGTGTGTGTGAACGAGGCCAGTGCAAAACTAACAGTGCAAATATATAAGTATAGTTGAAGTGAGTTATTACAGTGAAATGTGTTAAAATTTACACTACTGGGAGCAAAAAAATAAAAACTACTGCAAGAGAATAAATGTATACAGTTTTTTTATTTTATTTAACAGTATGTTTGTGCTGTTTCAGGTGCAGAAGAAGAACTACAGAGAGGAGAAGAAGAGGGCGACTAAAGAGCTGCTCAGCACCATCACCGACCCGTCTGTGATCGTCATGGCCGACTGGCTCAAGGTTCAGTTTATTTACATCCAGACTGTATTTAATAGGAAATTAATAAAATAATCATGACAATAAGACAGGGAAATAAGGCCTGAAGTTTTATGATTTTATTGGAGGGGAAAATTGCTCTAATGAAATAATTGAGAGGATATCTAAGGATGTTTAAAGGTGGGTTATTTAAAACAAATCTGTTTCGCAAAATGGACTTTTCAGAACTTTCACCCGAAGTGTATTTGGGGTGTGTGTTCATGTCAGATTATAGCATTATATATAAAAATAAAACAAACTCGCACTATTTACAGAGACTATGTGCAGTTCGACAAGAGGCTCATGTTTGTACAGACATTCATCAGTAACATGTTAAAAAAAGCAGACGTACAGACTTTTAGAAATTCTTTTCCAGTGTTCCAATGTAAACTCTCCTGTACTGCACCAGTTCATGTTACATACGACAAACCCAGTGTTTCCCACAGATCAAGTAACATTGTGTGCCCCTCAGAGGGACCTCCTTTGTTTCTGGCCCATTTATTGTATTTGGGGGAACCCTGGTCAGTCTACCCCCCGACTGTGGGCTTCGTTAGGGTTCCGAGTGTCAGGAGGTGCGCCCGTGTAGTAGAGATGCGCGGATGGTGGTTACATCCGCAGTCGGGCGGATGACGTGACGAAAAATAATATTTTAATTAAATTCGAGCGGGTGGCGGTTTCACTACTCAAATAAAAAATTCTGAACTCGGAGCAAATGGGAGGAGACCGAGCGGATGGCGGGCGGGTGCGGTTTTGAAAACTGGTCAAAAACTGTGGTTGCAAATGGATAGCGGGCGGATGATGAGTTTTGCGATGCAGTTGCGGATGAAAAAGTAGACCATCCGCGCATCTCTACCGTGTAGACCGTCGGGTGACTGCAGGCGAAAGGACCGGTGCAGAGCTCCGCACCCCACGGGGCTCAGCGGCCGTCACCCTGTCGCACTTTGTAGACATCCTGCTTCACGAGATGCGTGGGAGGAACGTTTTCCCGGGCAGAGAGAGTCTAGCCAGGCTGGCGCCACCTAGTGCCACCGTTTAGTTTCTCTCCAGCGACTAGATCAGGAATCAGAATACACTAGATGGTTTGCAAGAACCCCGGAAGTGCAAGTTCGAGCACCAGCCAATCAGCGAAGAGTGATATATTTAATGTTGTCAACAATTCCCGAGATCGAGCTGGAATAAAGAGAATGTTCAGTGAATCCCCCCCACCACGGCCCAATATTTCCACCGTCCCGGGACACTCCGGCTCTGATTTTGATCCCCATTCTACTTCCCCCGACTGTTACAAGGAACAGATGTGATGTTTCATGATCAACAAAGATCTCACACATCCTGCTACAAAATATTTATAAGCTTCTAACCCCTTGTAGCTTTTCAGTTCTTGGTTGGTGCAGTACAGTGTCAAATTAATTAAGTCGTTGTATATATCTGGATACTAAAGGATTGTGCACAGAGCGAGCGTTGATTAAACAAACAAAGCGTCCATCGGAACTAGATCGGGATTTATTTCACAACCCAGGAGGACGACTTTAGCTTTATACTTTTCTAATGACGGTTGATCTAACGAGCTGGTGATTTCAGACAGTTTTATGTTGTTTGCAATGTTTAAATTCGCAATGATTGTATTGAAATAAACTGAATAATCCCAGTCTTGCCCTCCAGTACGGCCGCCAAAACATTAAATCACATGACTGCCACGTCACACGCAAATCCTTAATAAGAAGAGTGGCATTAATTAGCATTGTTGTGTCAGATTTGGTAAAGTTGGATTATTTTTCTCAGTCATGTTCATGTTGACGCTCGGTCTGGTGTGTAGATCCGGGGAACGCTGAAGAGCTGGACGAAGCTGTGGTGCGTGCTGAAGCCGGGCGTCCTGCTCATCTACAAGACCCACAAGAACGGGCAGTGGGTGGGCACCGTGCTGCTGAACGCCTGCGAGCTCATCGAGAGACCCTCCAAGAAGGACGGCTTCTGCTTCAAACTGTTCCACCCGCTCGAGCAGAGCATCTGGGCCGTCAAGGTGAGACAAACTAACACACACGCACACGTTCAAGGTAAACAAAACTAACACACACGCGTTCAAGGTAAACAAAACAAACACACACGCGTTCAAGGTAAACAAAACAAACACACACGCGTTCAAGGTAAAACAAACACACACACGCACACGTTCAAGGTAAACAAAACTAACACACACGGGTTCAAGGTAAACAAAACTAACACGCACACGTTCAAGGTAAACAAAACAAACACACACGCACACGTTCAAGGTAAACAAAACAAACACACACACGCGTTCAAGGTAAACAAAACAAACACACACGCGTTCAAGGTAAACAAAACAAACACACACGCGTTCAAGGTAAACAAAACAAACACACACACGTTCAAGGTAAACAAAACTAACACACACACGGTTCAAGGTAAACAAAACTAACACACACACGTTCAAGTAAACAAAACAAACACACACGTTCAAGGTAAACAAAACAAACACACACACGTTCAAGGTAAACAAAACAAACACACACACGCGTTCAAGGTAAACAAAACAAACACACACACGTTCAAGGTAAACAAAACAACACACGCGTTCAAGGTAAACAAAACTAACACGCACACGTTCAAGGTAAACAAAAACAAACACACACACGTTCAAGTAAACAAAACAAACACACACGTTCAAGGTAAACAAAACAACACACACACGCGTTCAAGGTAAACAAAACTAACACACGCGTTCAAGGTAAACAAACAACACGCACACGTTCAAGGTAAACAAAACAAACACACACACGTTCAAGGTAAACAAAACAAACACACACGTTCAAGGTAAACAAAACAAACACACACACGTTCAAGGTAAACAAAACAAACACACACGCGTTCAAGGTAAACAAAACAAACACACACGCGTTCAAGGTAAACAAAACAAACACACACCACGTTCAAGGTAAACAAAACTAACACACACACGTTCAAGGTAAACAAAACAAACATACACACGTTCAAGGTAAACAAAACTAACACACACGCGTTCAAGGTAAACAAAAAACTAACACACGCGTTCAAGGTAAACAAAACAAACACACACGTTCAAGGTAAACAAAACAAACACACACACGTTCAAGGTAAACAAAACAAACACACACACGTTCAAGGTAAACAAAACTAACACACACGCGTTCAAGGTAAACAAAACTAACACACACGCGTTCAAGGTAAACAAAACAAAACACACACGTTCAAGGTAAACAAAACAAACACACACGTTCAAGGTAAACAAAACAAACACACACACGTTCAAGGTAAACAAAACTAACACACACACACGTTCAAGTAAACAAAACAAACACACACGCGTTCAAGGTAAAACAAAACAAACACACACACGTTCAAGGTAAACAAAACAACACACACACACGTTCAAGGTAAACAAAACTAACACACACGCGTTCAAGGTAAACAAAACAAACACACACGCGTTCAAGGTAAACAAAACTAACACACACACGTTCAAGGTAAACAAAACAAAACACACACGCGTTCAAGGTAAACAAAACTAACACACACGCGTTCAAGGTAAACAAAATAAACACACACACGTTCAAGGTAAACAAAACTAACACACACGTTCAAGGTAAACAAAACAACACACACACACGTTCAAGTAAACAAAAACAACACACACACGTTCAAGGTAAAAAACAAAAACAACACACACACGTTCAAGGTAAACAAAACAAACACACACGTTCAAGGTAAACAAAACAAACACACACACGTTCAAGGTAAACAAAACTAACACACACACGTTCAAGGTAAACAAAACAAACACACACGTTCAAGGTAAACAAAACAAACACACACACGTTCAAGGTAAACAAAACAACACACACACGTTCAAGGTAAACAAAACAAACACACACACGTTCAAGGTAAAACAAAAACAAACACACACGTTCAAGGTAAACAAAACAAACACACACGCGTTCAAGGTAAACAAAACAAACACACACACGTTCAAGGTAAACAAAACAAACACACACGTTCAAGGTAAACAAAACAAACACACACGCGTTCAAGGTAAACAAAACAAACACACACACGTTCAAGGTAAACAAAACAAACACACACACGTTCAAGGTAAACAAAACAAACACACACGTTCAAGGTAAACAAAACAAACACACACACTGTTCAAGGTAAACAAAACAAACACACACACGTTCAAGGTAAACAAAACAAACAAGCACACGTTCAAGGTAAACAAAACAAACACACACACGCGTTCAAGGTAAACAAAAAACAAACACACACGTTCAAGGTAAACAAAAACAAACACACACACGTTCAAGGTAAACAAAACAAACACACACGTTCAAGGTAAACAAAACAACACACACACGTTCAAGTAAACAAAACAAACACACACACGTTCAAGGTAAACAAAACAAACACACACGTTCAAGGTAAACAAAACAAACACACACACGTTCAAGGTAAACAAAACAAACACACACACGTTCAAGGTAAACAAAACAAACACACACACACGTTCAAGGTAAACAAAACAAACACACACGTTCAAGGTAAACAAAACAAACACACACGCGTTCAAGGTAAACAAAACAAACACACACACGTTCAAGGTAAACAAAACAAACACACACGTTCAAGGTAAACAAAACAAACACACACGCGTTCAAGGTAAACAAAACAAACACACACGTTCAAGGTAAACAAAACTAACACACACACGTTTCAAGGTAAACAAAACAAACACACACGCGTTCAAGGTAAACAAAACAAACAAATCTAACTCTAGTCCTGGTTTAGTCCTGGTTTTGTCCTGGTTTTGTTCTAGTCCTGGTTTAGTCCTGGTTTTGTTCTAGTCCTGGTTTGGTTCTAGCTCTAGTATGGGTTGAGTCCTGGTTTGGTTCTAAAATCTAGTCCTGGTTTGTTTAGTCCTGATTTAGTCCTTGTTGAGTCCTGGTTTTGTTCTAGTCTTGGTTTAGTCCTGGTTTTGTCCCAGCTCTAGTATGGGTTTGGTCCTGATTTAGTCCTTGTTTAGTCCTGGTTTTGTTCTAGTCCCGGTTTAGTCCTGGTTTTGTTCTAGTCCCGGTTTAGTCCTGGTTTGGTTCTAGCTCTAGTCCTGGTTTTGTTCTAAACTCTAGTCCTGGTTTAGTCCTGGTTTTGTTCTAGTACTGGTTTTGTTCTAACTCTAGTCCTGGTTTAGTCCTGGTTTTGTTTTAGCTCTAGTCCTGGTTTAGTCCTGGTTTGGTTCTAGTCCTGGTTGAGTCCTGGTTTGGTTCTAAACTCTAGTCCTGGTTTAGTCCTGGTTTTGTTTTAGCTCTAGTCCTGGTTTAGTCCAAGCGAAATCCTGGTTTAAACCTTTGAAATTCCTCTTTTAAAACTTCAGTGATCCAGTATTAGACTTGGTTCATTTACAGTAACAACTTTATTTATTTATAAAACCCTTTAAAAACTTTACATCTGTCTAAAAACATAAAAAACAACAAGACACGAGACACTAAAGTTAATTAACAACAACAAATGCACATCTCACTTGTTAAAATCCAAGAGAAAATGTGTGTTTCTAGTGAGGAGTGATTTAAAAACAGGCACAGACTGTGTTTTTTATGTTTAATAATCTGTGTTAGTTTGACTCAGACTGTGACACATGTGGCCTTTTCTCTCTGTTTTCCGCACTTGTGTTTTGTCCGTCTGTTTTAGTGTCCGTCTGGTTCAGATTTCGCTCTGGCCCTGAGTTTTTCGAGCTTTTCTCTTTGTGAAATGTGACAAACAAATGAAAATCTCTTTTGTATCTGACCTCTTCTTTTATGAAAGATTTGAAATGAAGCTCTGTTAGGTCCATCCACACAGACGAGGACACTTTCACATGGACTGTAGGGGTGTGTGTGTGTGTGTGTGTGTGTGTGTGTGTGTGTGTGTGTGTGTGTGTGTGTGTGTGTGTGTGTGTGTGTGTGTGAGACTGTAGAATCGGTCTGTTACGATTCAGTCCAAACAATTCATCCCGATACTAAAACAAAGGACAGTGTATTGTGATGTAAAGTGCTGCACCGATACCAGGATCAGACAACGGTCCAATACCAGGTGCCAGTACTCGTCCTCATACTCGTCAATGGGCTGCCAATACCAAGACCCGATACCATGAGCCGATACCACTGTAACTAGGGTTGTCCCGATCACGTGATCGGAAATCGGCGCCTCTCAATCCGGACTCGGCCGTTATGGTCCGATCAGGCATTAGGCAAGGCAAGTTTATTTGTACAGCACAATTCATACACAAAGTAATTCAAAGTGCTTTACAGAATAAGAAATACATTAAAATCATAATAAAAACAAATCAAAACATAAATAATCATGAAGATTAAAATTAAAAAAGAGAGACATAAATTGGAGAGAAGAGTGCGGAATGAAAACCTTTCAGTTATTTGCACAGTTAAACAGAAATGTTTTGAGTCTGGATTTAAACAGCGTCACAGAAGAGTCTGTCTCACATGTTCAGACTGTTCCAGGTTTTAGCTGCATGAACCTGAAACTCTGACTCCCCTTGTTTAGTCGTGACTCTGGGCACCAGCAGGAGTTGGTCCCTGAGCTCCTCAGAGTGTGAGATGTTCATGTGACACTAACATGTCACAGATGGACTTTGGTGCTCGGACATGGAGACACTTGTACAAGCAGAGCTGCTTTAAAGTCTCTGAGCCACAGGAGCCAGAGCAGAGACCTGAGCACAGGACTTATGTGCTCGTACTTCCTAGTTCGAGTCAGGACCTGAGCTGCAGCGTTCTGGATGTTCTGGATGTTCTGGATGTTCTGGATGTTCTGGATGTTCTGGATGTTCTGGATGTTCTGGATGTTCTGGATGTTCTGGATGTTCTGGATGTTCTGGATGTTCTGGATGTTCTGCAGCGTCTCACAGCTCGTTTGGAGAGACCAGTGAGCAGAACATTACAGTATCTAACCTACTGGAGACAAACGCATGGATAAGTTTCTCCAAGTCTGATTTAGACAGTAAACCTTTGATTTTTGCTCTGTTTTTTAGATGGTAAAAGGCTGCAGATGTTATTGATTTGATGTGGCTGTTAAATTCAAGTCTGAGTCCATTATTACCCCGAGATTTCTTGCCTGATTTGAAGGTTTTAGAGAGAGAGACTGGAGGTGATGCTGACTGCTGATTAGATAAATAATATACATATATAACACACAGCGCACACAGGACACACAGTACACAAGTTTGTTTTGGGGGTTTTTCGGAGGCGCGGCTGGATTTGCTCAGGGACGTCCAGTCAGCGTGACTGTCTGTCCCGGCGCCTGCTGAACTAGAGGTGCTGGGACTTTTGGGTCGTGTCGTGCTCGGGAGCTGTTACCTGTGGTTCTGTGGCCTGTGTTCACACCTGCGCGGCCGATGGCGTCATCGCATGGTGCTGTTTGTTTGCATGTTTGGATGCAGTTGGATGGAGTTGGGGCTTTTAGCGGGGAGGGAGGGAACAGCGTCATGAAGTGTCTACTGAGCGGTGGGACTAATGTTGCTCCACTGTGGGTTTGTGGATGTGGGGGCAGTACGGGGGGAGTGGGGGCGGTCGGGGGAGAGAGGCTCTGGAGCTTCTGTCATCTTATTTTTATTTGGTAAGATTTTGTATTATTTGGATTTCATAGACTGGACTCCCCCCAAACCTCCTGGATCTTATTCTTGTTTTATAGAAGTATCGGATCAGGACTCGGTATCGGCAGATACTCAAAATCAAATGACTCAGATTCAGGGGCAAAAAAATGTGATCGGGACATCCTGAACTGTAACACTCACAACTTCCTCTGAGCTGAGCTCCAGCAGAGCGGAGACCATAAAGAAGCACATTCACTGTTCTCCACATTCATCTCACCTTTAATCACATGTGACTGTATGTTTAGGACTCTTACAAGTTTTTATTTTTATTGACAAAGGATATCAGCACTGTGTTTGTGTTGACGATGGTAGCATGTTAACATGCCAAGTGACACTGGTGATGATTTACTTGATGCACTTACGACTTACACATGCATTGTGACTTGTTGCACCTGACGAGCTTTTTAAAGAGGTGTGCAGCAGGTTCATACTGGTCAAAGTGTGACTGTGGTAAAAGTAAGAAAACGCTCACTGTTATGAGTATTTGTCTGTGAAGGTGAAGTGGTAAAATATTAAAGCTGCAAGTGCTTAACTAAATAAATAATATGGCCGTTATTTCTAAATACAGTGATTTTAGTAGAAATCTAAAACAGACTCTTAGATCGTGCTCTAACATGAAACTAGGTACCATAAAAACACAATCAAATTAATTCAATTTATCACTGTAATCAAACCCCTGTAAAAATAATGCCTGGTATTGGTATCGGTACTCAGTATCGGCGAGTACTTGTTTTGGAAAAAGATGTTGGTGAATCCTATTGATTTATCAAGAATTCCCTTTAATATTATGATCGTACTCCTTCACGAGAATAAAATTTGGTGAAATAATCTTTAGAACAGTCAATGGAAAAACATTACTTAAAAAAAAAATTTGATTCAGACACATTTTGAAACGATACTAGATTTATGCTGTGAACTGAACTGATTCTTTTTACACCTCTAATAAACTGTCTGTATAAATGGCTCCATTTCACTTTCTGTTGAAAAACCGTCAGCTCTTTCTGTACCTGCTGCTGTCAGACACATCATTTTGGTCTTAAAACGTTCATATTAATGTTCTCTACATAATCCTGGTGTCATTATTTCCCCTTAACGTTAACCATAACCGAACCTGTCTTCAGTTTGTGACTTTGTGTTTTCAGGGTCCTAAAGGAGAAGCGGTGGGCTCCATCACTCAGCCTTTACCCAGCAGCCACCTCATCTTCAGAGCCGCCTCCGAGTCCGACGGTAACAAACAAAACCATTTAATATGTCTTTATTCTGCTCGAGAAAATGTCCACCAAAGTATCTGACAACGGGAATTATGTTGTCTGAGTTGATCTTGTATCGGGGCTAAAAGTGCAGGTGGTAATTTCGTTTGGACAGTGAAAATAAATGTGTTTCTGCTGGAGATTTTTAGTTTTATTTTGCTTTTCTGTCACTCCACCCCAGTTTAACTCATGTCTGGAATGTTTCACAGTGTGGCATTAAACCTTTCTATCTTCACGGAGACCAAATCAGACTAAGCTACAGGTCAAATCTGTGGAGAGGCGACCCCGTTCACAGTCAGAATGCTGTTTTTCGAGATATTTCTGAGCTATAATACCTGTATAATACCTGTAATTGAAGCGTCTCCTGCTTGTCTCTTTGGAGGTTGATAAGTTTAATGCCAGACTTTGGAACATTGCAGGCAAATCGATAACATCTCCATGGCGATGTCGGCTGCAGTGCGAGAGTGAGACTGGGGTCTGGTTTAATTGGAGACTGGTTGAGATTCTGGAGATGGTGCAGTGCGCAGAATAATGAGACAGAGAGTTTGATCTGAGCCTGAAGAGAAAAACCACAGCGGACGAGATCGAGGGCAGCCGCGGAATACAAAAACTCTGACGCAAGTCCAGAAACGTCCAATGCTTTAAAAAAAAACCAAAAAAAAACCCTGGGCCTGTCCAACCGTTACCACAGTGAACATGGACTAAAGATCCAATACTGCACAACTGCCACGTTTACATGGGAGCTTTAATTCAGAATAAAAATAATTTAATTCTGAATAAAAAATAATTCCGCTTTAAAAAGACCATGTAAACCAGACGTATCAAACTCAGGCGCAGGGGCCAAATTTGGTCCATGATATAATTATATTTGGCCCACGAGATCATATCAAATCTGTATTAGAGCTGCCCACTGTCTGCAGATCGACTATAGGGACATTATTTATTTAAAATTTTGTTACTTTTTTTATATTCTGCTTGTTCTGGATTCAGTGTTTAAGCAAAACTATTATTAAACATTTATTTTAATAAGAAAAGGTTTAACGTTACTTATCTGAAAAGAAGCGAAAACATGCAGATGTTGTTGAAATTTTTCAATAAATATTTCGTTTGGCCCACGACTTAGTCCCAGTTTTTAATTTTGGCCCAGTGTGAATTTGAGGTTGACACCGCTGATGTAAACGTTTATTCTTCTTAAAAATAATTCCGGTCGTTCAATCGAGAGGTGCAGAAGACAAACAGACTGAGCTGCACTTTCTTGTTCTTGTGGTTTTACAGCAACATCACGTCTTGGTCTCTTTGCAGTGGAAGGTGTTTCTTGGTGAACAGTTGGAGCCTTTCACTTTGGCGTTGACTTTTTAAATTCGTAACCAAGGTTGAGTGAGGAATCGGGATTTTGTTTTGTTGTCGCTCCACGTATAAAATGTTCTCTGTAAACTCAGGATGATTTCTTAGACAGTTAAATGTTTCCTTTTTGGTTCTTCCTGTGGATCAATCCTGCCCATCACCTTCACCTTTCACTATTTTTCAATTCTGTTGGGAAGAGAAACAGTTTGAACAGAGGTTTGCAGTCACACACATCTGATTCACTTTTGCAGTTTATGGAGTTCGCAAACTTCCGAAGCCCGTTTCTCGAGCTGTTTTCCGCTGTTAGGATCCAACAACCACACAATTACGATGTCCGAATCCCAAATCCTAAAATATGACAATATCAGAACTAGAAACAAAAGTGATATGGTTCAAAAGACTTGAAAAGATCGACTTTGTCAATAGACACATCCCACTGGGAAAACAAACATTGCGGTTTGATGCTCACTTTTTCTGAGAACCCTTCCCAGTATGAATTGCGCGATGACCGGAAGTCCGAAATTCAGGATGCATGTATAGAGCCGTCTGGTCACCCTAAACAAGCCTCAGAAAGAGCAGTTCTTACAGTTTGCATCGCACTCCCATGTTGTTGACCACAGTTGTATCAAATCACTTTATCGCTGGGTAAAAACAACGAAAGTGTGGTGTGTCCTAGGCCTAAAAAAAGCGTATGTTAAACTCTTAAATACTAAAATCCTGTTGTCTCTTGGTGTGTAGGCCGCTGCTGGATGGACGCTCTGGAGCTGGCTCTCAAGTGCTCCGGTCTGCTGAAGAGGACCATGATCAGAGAGGGCAAAGAGGAGCCCACTGTGGCCACGGGAGGAGAACACTCCATCAACTTCTACAGCCTCCTCAGGGCGCACAACTTGCAGTAAGGACTTATACCTTTAAAAAGTCAAAGTTCTAAGTCAGTTTTATTGTCGAAATTACGTTCCTCTCCGTCCCATGTGTAGACAAGACAGGACAAACATGAAAGTACAAGACAGGACAACATTTATGTACACAGACACAATAAATAACATCATCTATAACCACGACAGTCACCATAAAGAAATAAATTAAGATAAAAACACAATTTAGAGTTAAAAACAGTTTTTCTATGACGTTAGAGGTGGTTTGTGTAACTTTTCTGGTGGAGGGTCCGTCTTCGTAGAGACGTTGTTGTTATTGTTTTGTCTGGAATGTTCCACAGTATGGCATTAAACCTTTCTATCTTCATGGAGACCAAACCAGACCAAGTTACAGGTCAGATCTGTGGAGAGGCGACCCCGCTCACAGTGAGAATGTCTGTATTTTTAAGTATTTTTGAGCTCTAAAACCAGCTGTGATTGAATAAATGTAATGTACCATATTTTTCGGAGTATAAGTCGCTCCGGAGTATAAGTCGCACCGGAGTATAAGTCGCACCGGAGTATAAGTCGCTCCGGAGTATAAGTCGCTCCGGAGTATAAGTCGCACCGGAGTATAAGTCGCTCCGGAGTATAAGTCGCTCCGGAGTATAAGTCGCACCAGATATAAGTCGCACCAGAGTATAAGTCGCACCAGCCAAAAATGTGTAATGAAGCAGAATAAAACATATATAAGTCGCACTTTTGGGGGGAAATTTATTTTATAAAATCAGAGACCAGGAAGCGACATTTCAAGTCAAGTTCTCGTAAAAACAATAGAAGAGAGAACAACAGACTGTTAACGTCACATATGAACAGTTCTTCAGATAAACTATAACATAAACAACAGAACAGAACAAGTTTAACAAACTCTCCATCTCACTCCAAATCACTAAATCCATTCAATTCTTCATCCTCGGTGTCACTTCTGAACAACTCGACCTCCGGAGGTAAACAGAGCCGCTTCCTCTTCTGTGTCGCTGTCGTCAGACTCAGCATCAGTTCCAGTTAGAATTATTCGGGTCTTTCTGAATCCCGACAGGATGGTTTCGGTGTCACTGAAGTCCAGGCTTTGAAGTTCCTGGAAAGTTTCATGGCGCATCCTCCTGGTGTCACAAGTTTCTCACTCCAAACTTTCTTTCTGCTGCTCAATTATCATTTTCGGCATTTATGTTCAGTCTTCTCAGTCGTCTTAAATGTTAAATTGTTCAGTGTTACAGAAGTAATGGTTGCGATCGACTGACATGATACAGACAGGACAGAGGCTCTTTCTGCAGGAGACATGTGCAGTAGAGCCAAGTGACAGTGGTTCAGGAGGAACAGGAGCAGCAGATACTCACACACAAGACTAGAACCTCTCCACGCTGTCAACATTTTAATATAAATTGCACTGGAGTATAAGTCACACGAAACACCCAAACCATGAAAAAAAGTGACGCTTATAGTCCAAAAAATACGGTACTGGGGAATATTTCAGACAGAGCAGTAACATATTCATAGAAACAAACAGGTGATGGACCAAAATGTTGCATAATCCACCTTAAAGTTGGGATTTTAGCCATGTCCGAACATTGTTTACTCATTAAAATCAAACCTTGAGTTGTATTTAGCTTTAATTTTTCAGTAATAATGTGTAAAAGCCCTTTCCTCTTTGAAATATCCCTGGATTGTGACATCATAGGTAGAAGCCGTTTGCAGTTTTTAAGAACATAAATCATTGCCAGACTCGTTTTAAGCATTTCTGTGCCAAATCACGTGAAATCATTCTCTAGTTTAGTTGTTTTCACAGTTGTGTTTCCCTCTGCTGCCACTAGACGGCGAACTGTCCCAGATCAGAGTGTGTTTACGTCTGTGTTTTTATTTTTTCAGGTTTAACGACAGCGATCACCTGAAAGACCCGGACCTGTACTCGGATAAGTCGGACCGGGAGCAGGACCACGAGGAGTCTGACGCCGAGGGGCTGGAGAAGAGCGAGGAGAGAGCGACAGCGACACTTCGGAACGCCAGGACGACTCCTACATCGACCTGGACCCCAACGAGCACCTGCGGGAGACGCCGTACATGGAGCAGTCGCACGAGGAGCTGGGAGAGGTACGCAAGGGGAATGTTTGGATGATGTTTTACAGGGACGTCGTGCTGCATCCGTCAAAATAAAAAAAACTAAATAAGAAAACGAAAAGAAAAACAACAATTTTCTTTTAAAAAATGGATAACGATTTTTTTTTTTTTTTCTGTTTTTGATTTCGTGTTTAAATGAAAAATGGAAAAAAACGGATAACAGACTGTTTACGAAAATTAAACTGTGATGTCGGACTGAACCAGGTCTAAACCAGGTCTAAACCAGGACTGAACCAGGTCTAAACCAGGTCTAAACTAGGTCTAAACCAGGTCCAAACCAGGTCCAAACAAGGTCTAAACAAGGTCTAAACCAGGACTGAACCAGAACTGGACCAGGTCTAAACCAGGTCTAAACCAGGTCCAAACCAGGTCTAAACCAGGACTAAACCAGTCTCAGTCCTGGTCTGATCCTGCTCTCAGTCCCGGTTTCTGTCCCGGTCTGGTCCTGGTCTCAGTCCCGGTCTCAATTATGGTCTGGTCCCGGTCTGGTCCCGGTCTGGTCCAGGTCTTGATCTGGTCCCGGTTTCAGTCAGGTTTCTCAGTCCCAGTCTGGTGCCAGTGTCAGTCCCGGTCTCAGTCCCGGTCTGGTCTCGGTCTGGTCACGGTTTCGGTCCCGGTCTCAGTCCCAATCTGGTCCCAGTCTGGTCCTGATGTCAGTCCCGGTCTTAATCCTGGTCTCAATCGTGGTCTGGTCTTGGTCTCCATCCCGGGCTTGATCTGGTCCTCGTCTCGGTCTAGTCCCGGCCTGAGTCCTGATGACCCGACAGTCTACACGGTTGCACCTCCGGGTCCGTACCAACACTCAGTCCTGGATCGGTCCTGGTTTAGTCCTGGTTCAGCCCTGGTTTAGTCCTGGTTTAGTCCTGGATCGGTCCTGGTTTAGTCCTGGATCGGTCCTGGTTTAGTCCTGGATCGGTCCTGGTTTAGTCCTGGATCGGTCCTGGTTTAGTCCTGGATCGGTCCTGGTTTAGTCCTGGTTCGGTCCTGGTTTAGTCCTGGATCGGTCCTGGTTTAGTCCTGGATCGTCCTGGTTTAGTCCTGGATCGGTCCTGGTTTAGTCCTGGTTCAGCCCTGGTTTAGTCCTGGATCGGTCCTGGTTTAGTCCTGGATCGGTCCTGGTTTAGTCCTGGATCGGTCCTGGTTTAGTCCTGGTTCAGCCCTGGTTTAGCCTGGTTTAGTCCTGGATCGGTCCTGTTTAGTCCTGGATCGGTCCTGGTTTAGTCCTGGATCGGTCCTGGTTTAGTCCTGGTTCAGCCCTGGTTTAGTCCTGGTTTAGTCCTGGATCGGTCCTGGTTTAGTCCTGGATCGGTCCTGGTTTAGTCCTGGATCGGTCCTGGTTCAGCCCTGGTTTAGTCCTGGTTTAGTCTGGATCGGTCCTGGTTTAGTCCTGGATCGGTCCTGGTTTAGTCCTGGTTCAGCCCTGGTTTAGTCCTGGATCGGTCCTGATTTAGTCCTGGATCGGTCCTTGTTTAGTCCTGGATCGGTCCTGGTTTAGTCCTGGTTCAGTCCTGGTTTAGTCCTGGATCGGTCCTGGTTTAGTCCTGGTTCAGTCTGTGAGTCATTTGATCTATTTTCATTGTATATATCATTTTATATATACAATAGAACGTTGTGATTTCAGCAGCTTTAGTCCAGAAAACAGAAACGTTTTTTTCTCGTTGTCAGTATCTGGTCTGGTCATGGTAAATCCTGACGCTCCAGATTTCACATTGAAACCGTTTGAACCAATAATCTCGTATCGCTCGTGTTGTGATGGAGACAGACTTTAATCACAGTCTTGGCTGGAGCGCGTGGGCAGCGCTCGGAGCAGAGAATGTGCTCATTTTCAAACTCTGTGATATTTTGACAGGTCGCTAATTAGCCTCCTACAAAAGCCCAGAATACGGCTTTATTTTTTACAATAATATCAATGACAAACATCCCAGACTCGCCGCCAACGCAGACGAGACTCGTACAGAATCTTACAGCTGACGGTAACCAGGGTTTGAATAGGACCCAGGAGAGATTGCTAGATTATTTAAACATGCACAGATGACTCTAAAACCTCTGCAGCCGTGTTTATGATGAAGGAAAAACGTCGTAACATGGTAGAAAGCTCATAATACCCTCTCTTTAAGACAAATATTGGACAAAATAGACCAGGAGTGTCAAACTCATTTTGGTCCGGGGGCCGTATCCAACCGAATTTGATCCCAAAGGGGCCGGATCAGAAAACTCATGTCATATAAACCCCAAAAATAACAATAAGTTCAAATATTTGTGCAGAGAAACACAAATCTATTACAAAAATATTTTTTAATTGATGAACTCTTTCTTTTACAAAATATTATAATATTATGAACAACCTGAAACTTAAAAAAAAAAAAAAAAACAATTTCAACACAATGTTTTAACATGAACTTGTTTAAAATTAACTTGCAGAAATACGAACAAGTCCATTTTTGTTGTAAAATCCTGCACTCGGCTCCACTTTTCTCATGTTGGACATTTTTCTGATGAGGGTGTCACGGTCAACAGTCAAAACGATCGTCCTTTAAGAGCGTTTGGAAAGAGACAAGTCTTCATTTGTGCTGCTCTGGTGGGAGACGCTGCTGTGATAAACACCGCAGAAAATTACCAATATTTTAATAAAAAATAGAATTAAAATATTTTAGTAGAAAATCAGGGCCAGATTAAAGGTCTTGGAGGGCCGGATCTGGCCCCCGGGCCGCATGTTTGACACCTGTGAAATAGACGTTTAAATGGTCACACTGGGAAGACTTGACTATAACAAAGATCAGAAAATAGTGTAATATGGGCCCTTTAACTTATCTTTAGAATAAATTTGTGGATAAACAGTGAGTGTGTTTACATCCACATCATCAGTATCCCGGTTCTGTCAGTATTCGTGTTACTGTGTTTACATGTGCACTGAGACTCATATCCCTGTGTACATGATCAAATGGAGTATCCCGGTTTCTTGACATAATCTTACAAATGCGCAAGTGCAAAAATTAACTTAAATCAATTTCATAAAGCAGGAAAAATACAAACCGTGAGCTCCTTTAGCATAAGAAGCTAAGGAGCTACGAGATCTCCCACAATCCACTGCACACATCAAACCAACAGATTCTTCATTAAAATCTTCTGCATAAATAAACTCAACTTTACAACATATAAACCAGAAACACTGTAGAGCCACATCAGCCCGTTTGATCAGATCATTCAGCTCTGATCACATTTGTTTACGTTTTACAGAAACAAAACTTAAAACCGCATCGCTAATTAGCATAAACTGTTAGCGCTGATAAAAACACTCACTCCTTGTGTCGCTGATGTGGTTCAGCTTCTTTTGGACTAAATGACACGACTCTGTGGATTATGTGTGTTGTTTTTGTGACAGAAGAGGTGCTGATGATGGTGAGTCTGTTCTGTGTGTGTGTTGTACAGGAGATAGTTCATGTTTTAACTTTTCAGCGTCACACGAGTGCAGATTGTACGTGTGCAGGTTTAGCGCAGCTCTTTATTTTACAGTCATTTCACTCGTTTGGTCACTTTATTTATGTTGGTCAATTTATTTATGTCACTACTGTTGTGATGAAAAGACTGGAAAGTGTCTTTTGGATGCATGCGCACTTAACTTTATGTTGCAGTAACCGGGATACTGCGTTTACATGCCACAGTATCCCGGTTACTATCAGAATAAACCAGCTACAGTAACCCGGTGTCTAATAACCGGGATACTGCCATAACCGGGTTACTGCGTTTACATGCACCGTGAAGAACCCGGGACACTCAGAAAACCCGATCATAACCGGGTTATTGATGTGCATGTAAACGCACTCAATAATAATGTGCCCAATAATAAACCCTGACGCATGTATAATAAAAGACATTTCTAATCTCTCTCTGTCTCTCTCTGTGTCTGTGTTTTCAGGCAGGAGAGGCGTCGCAAACAGAGACGGTGTCCGAGGAGAACAAGTCTCTGATCTGGACTCTGTTGAAGCAGGTGCGACCCGGGATGGACCTGTCCAAAGTGGTGCTGCCCACCTTCATCCTGGAGCCGAGATCGTTCCTCGACAAACTCTCGGACTACTACTACCACGCCGACTTCCTGTCAGAGTAAGAAACATACGATACACTGACATATCGTATTAGTGTGACTTATACTCCGGTGCGACTTATATTAAAATGTTGAGAGTGAAGCGGTGAGAGGCTCTATTATCTGCTGCTCCTGTTCCTCCTGAACCACTGTCACTTGGCTCTACTGCGCATGTCTCCTGCAGAAAGAGCCTCTGTCCTGTCTGTATCATGTCAGTCGATCGCACCATTGCTTCTGTACTGAGGAAGACTGTCAGGGAATTAACCCAAAGACTCAGTCAGTGAAGAACAAGCCAGAGACGACACCGTGGTTCGTTTCACTTGCGGCGAGGAGTGCGAGAGCTTCCTGACTCGACCTCGCACTGGAGCTCTAATAGACGAACAGACGACAGCTGACACTGCTCCCGCTGACACACTCCGTTTCATATCCCGGTTCACATACAGTTCCTCCTCAGCCTCTCCGGGTCCCGTGTCAGTCCAAACGCGTCAACAGACATCAGCTGATTTTCTATAGTTACATACAGTTTGAACAAGGTACAAAGCAGTTCTGATCATCTTATAATGTGCAATGATTAAACATAGATTTATACTTTAAATGACCGAATGTCTCATAACACAAAAATTCTATAACAAAGACTGAGAAGACTGAACACAAATTTTGCAGATTACAAGCTGCAAGTCGTGAAATCTGCAGCTGAAAATGATAATCGAGCAGCAGAAAGAAAGTTTTAGCCTGGTTTGGCTCTAGGTTTAGTCCTGGTTTAGACCTGGGTTTAGACCTGGTTTAGACCTGGTTTAGACCCGGTTTAGATCTGGTTTTAGACCTGGTTTAGACCTGGTTTAGACCTGGTTTAGACCTGGTTTAGACCTGGTTTAGACCTGGTTTAGACCTGGTTTGGACCTGGTTTAGACCTGGGTTTAGACTGGTTTTAGACCTGGTTTAGACCTGGTTTAGACCTGGTTTAGACCTGGTTTGGACCTGGTTTGGACCTGGCTTGGACCTGGGTTTAGACTTGGGTTTAGACCTGGTTTAGACCTGGTTTAGACTGGTTTACCTGGTTTAGACCTGGTTTGGACCTGGTTTTACACCTGGTTTAGTGTCCGGCAATGAGTGGAATTACTGAAGAAAAAAAAAAAAAAGGGGTTTAGCCCAAAATGTGAAAACAGGAAAATCTCTCTGTGTAATCCATTTATTTCAACAAAGTAACTGTAATCCAATTACCACTCACTGAAACAGTAACTGTAACTGAATACAGTTACTCATAATTTGTACTCTGATTACATAACTCTGGTACATGTAATCTGTTACTCCACAACACTGATTATAACACACTTTTATTCTTGCTAAAACGTGGCTTTAAATGGCAAATATGCTGAAAAATTTTGTGCCTAAAAATAATTTGAGTAAAGCTAGAAGTTAAGTTAAGTTTATTTTGTTATTCATTAAAAATACATGATTGTTTTTCAGAGCTGCAGTGGAAGAAAACGCCTACAACCGAATGAAGAAAGTGGTGAAGTGGTACATCTCTGGATTCTACAAGAAGCCCAAGGTGAAAGTGAACGCCGCCGCTTTACAGGAGGACAGATAAAGCTCTGAACCGTAAAATAACTTCCTCTGTGTGTTTTTATTTTAAAGGGTCTGAAGAAGCCGTACAACCCGATCATCGGAGAGACGTATCGCTGCATGTGGCTCCATCAGAAAACCAACAGCAAAACCTTCTACATCGCTGAACAGGTGTGGAAAGAACTGCACTTAAATTTCCTATATTACACAAAACGGAGTCTTGTGAAGCTTTAAGTCGTGTTGTAGTCATGTTTCCTCCTCAAAAACAGACACTTACACTTTATTATTAGTCTGTCTGCATCTCCAACGCTCAAAATGCTGTTCACAAAAATGTGCACAGCTCCTTTTACCTTTTCTTCAGTAGAGTTTGGCAATTTCAGGTCTGAAATGATCCAAATGATCCTAGTGAAGGTGTGTGGAGTTTAAAAACACAGAGGAGCACTTTCTGTGTTACCACATGACAGCACAAGTGGTTTCCTGAAAATTATCACCTTAACTGCGATTAATTAATTACAGTCATATTTAGCGCGTTATGTTTTTTTAATCTCGTTAATCTTATTTTTAATCTCCGACTTTACTGTTTCTGTTCGCGAGTTGCTTTATTATAAAATCTGTTTTTATGTGTTGTTGGGACACAGTCCTCTCCCGCACTGTGCAGTCCTGCTCCGCTTGTAATTTTCCCTCCTGTTCTCACCCGCATTTGCGATAAACCTGCACATGTCTGATCTCTGAAAACATCACGACAAAACACAGAACAGACTCACCATCAGCATCATCATCCCTCTGTCACAGAAAGAACACTCATATTCCACTGAGTCGCGTCCTTTAGTCCGACAAAAGCTGAAACGCATCAGCGACACAAGAGCTTTTTTTTTTTTTCTGCGCTTAGTTTATACAGATGAGCCATGCAGTTTACACACATTATAATGTCAAACGGGCTGATGTGGCTTCAAAGTGTTTATGGTTTATATGTTGTAAAGTTGAATTTATTTATGCAGATTAGTAAAAGTAAAAAATAATGATGATACTTATTATATAAAAGCGTTAATGATTAATCAAAAATCAATCGTTAATTCTCCCGAAGATCGATTCATAAAATTTCATCGAATGCCCATCCCTAATGGGAACGTTCGCTTTCTTAAACTCTATCCAACACGGAGAAGCGGAAAGGAATTATCTAAACTGTTACCCCCAAAAAGAAAATCATATTTTGCAGATTACAAGTTACAAGTAGTGAAATATTCAGCTGAAAAACTGTAATCAAGCAGCAGAAAGAAAGTTTGGAGTGAGCGAGAAACCTGTGAGCGACTGACTGAAAGTGCGGATGGAGGAGGATGCACCATGAAACTTTCCTGAAGTCACTGGATGGATGGACAAAGTCTGGACTTCAGTGACACCGAAACCATCCTGTCGGGATTCAGAAAGACCCGAATAATTCTAACTGGAACTGATGCTGAGTCTGATTTAGTGATTTTTGGAGTGCGTGAGATTAGACCACATCCGCAAATTTAGGCTGCTTAAATGTTTTTATTGAAGCCAAATAAAATAACCAGCACAAATTATGTATGACAGACAAACATGAATCATTTGTACATTTTACTTTACCCAATGAGCTCTCAAAACGTGTCCCGCATCGCACAGTTTTGCGTCGGGGGCAGGGTTCTAATTGGGTGACGCAAAATGACTTTTCTTTGGGAGTGAACGGCTCAACCTGAAAACAGAACAAAAATAAAACAACAATTTAAACTGTTGATCTGTTTCTACACATTCTGTGAAAAATTGAGGTTATTTCAACAAGAATTGCCCAAATTATTGTCCTGTAAAAATTATGTCGTTAAAATTAATCTGATTTCCCTCATCTGACCTTGTATCGTGTCTCTTTATGTCTGTGTAAAAAAAAAAAAATAAAAGTGTATTTATTGTAAACTGATCCATGTCCTGCTCAGGTTTCCCATCATCCTCCAGTCTCTGCGTTCTACGTCAGCAACAGGAAGGACGGCTTCTGTGTCAGCGGCAGCATCCTCGCCAAGTCCAAGTTTTACGGTAACAGAGCTGCTCAGAAACTACAGGGAAATACAAATCTTAAAAATGATTCAGATTTAAGATTCATATTCATATTGAAGTGTGTGAAATATGGATTTACGCTCAGGGATTTCCAAAGTGAACAGAAGGTCTAACGAACGTCTGTCCATGTGTTTAACCCCAGATTAGTCCTGATTTAGTCCTGATTTAGGTTTAATCCTGGTTTAAACCCTGCTGAGTCCTGGTTTAGTCTTTGTTAAGTCTTGGTTTAGTCCTGGTTTAGGCCTGATTGAGTCCTGGTTTAGTCCTTGTGTAGTCCTGGTTTAGACCTGGTTTAGTCCTGGTGTTGTCCTGGTTAAGGCCTGATTGAGTCCTGGTTTAGGCCTGGTTTAGTCCTGGTTTAGTCCTGGTTTAGGCCTGGTTTAGTCCTGGTTTAGGCCTGGTTTAGTCCTGGTTTAGTTTGGTTTAGTCCTTGTTAAGTCCTTGTTAAATCCTTGTTTAGTCCTTGTTTAGTCCTTGTTTAGTTTTGGTTTAGTCCTGGTTTAGTCCTTGTTTAGTTTTGGTTTAGTCCTGGTTTAGTCCTTGTTTAGTTTTGGTTTAGTCCTGGTTTAGTCCTTGTTTAGTTTTGGTTTAGTCCTGGTTTAGTCCTTTTTTTAGTTTGGTTTAGTCCTGGTTTAGTCCTGGTTTAGTCCTGGTTTAGTCCTGGTTTAGTCCTGGTTTAGTCCTTGTTTAGTTTTGGTTTAGTCCTGGTTTAGTCTTGGTTCAGTCCTGGTTTCGACCTGGTTTAGTTTTTTTTGTTGTTGTTGCTTTTTTAAATTTATTTATTTATTTATTTTGTAAGTTTTTATTTATTTATTTATTTATTGTATACATATTTATTTTATTTTATTTTTTTTATCACTTCTGGAGGTTTTTGTTGAGTCTCCCTCACACAGTTCGTCCTTGTGTTCACTGTGTAACGTCGTCTTTTATCAGCTCATGTCTCTGCAGGTTAAACCTCTGTCTCCTCTCTTCCTTTTTCCTGTTTCCATTTTCCTCTCTTCCTTTTTCCTGTTTCCATTTTCCTCTCTTCCCGTTTTCTTTTTCCTGTCTCATGTTGTTGTTTATTTCAGGAAACTCTTTGTCGGCCATTTTGGATGGAGAGGCGCGTCTCACGTTTCTGAATCGAGGAGAAGATTATGTGATGAACATGCCCTACGCCCACTGTAAAGGTCAGACTCACCACACGGGACTGGACCGGGACTGGACCAGGACTGGACTAAACCAGGACTAAACCAGGACTAAACAAGGACTAAACCAGGACTAAAACAGGAAACCAGGACTAAAACAGGACTCTAAACAGGACTAAAACCAGGTCTAAACAAGGACTAAAACAGGACTAAACCAGGACTAAACAAGGACTAAAACAGGACTAAAACAGGAAAAACCAGGACTGGAAACCAGGACTAAGGACCGGGACTGGACCAGGGACTAAAGAACCAGGACTAAACCAGGACTAAACCAGGACTAAACAAGGACTAAAACAGGACTGAAACCAGGACTGAACCAGGACTGGACCGGGACTGGACCGGGACTGGACCGGGACTAGGACTAAACCAGGACTAAACCAGGGACTAAACCAGGACTAAAACAAGGACTAAACCAAGGACTAAACAAGGACTAAACCAGGACTAAACAAGGACTAAACAAGGACTAAACAGGACTAAACCAGGACTAAAACAAGGACTAAACCAGGACTAAAACAAGGACTAAACAAGGACTAAAAACAGGTCTAAACAAGGACTAAAACAGGACTAAAACAGGACTAAACAAGGACTAAACAAGGACTAAAACAGGACTGAACCAGGACTGAACCAGGACTAAACAAGGACTAAAACAGGACTAAACAAGGACTAAAACAGGACTAAACAGGACTAAACCAGGTCTAAACAAGGACTAAACAAGGACTGAACCAGGACTAAACCAGGACTAAACAAGGACTAAAACAGGACTAAACAAGGACTAAAACAGGACTAAACACGGACTAAAGCAGGTCTAAAACAGGACTAAACAAGGACTAAAACAGGATTAAATCAGGACTAAAACTGGACTAAAACAGGACTAAACAAGGACTAAACCAGGACTAACAAGGACTAAACAAAGACTAAACAAGGACTAAAACAGGACTAAATAAGGACTAAACCAGGACTAAACAAGGACTAAACCAGGACTAAACAAGGACTAAACAAGGACTAAAACAAGGACTGAACCAGGACTAAACAAGGACTAAAACAGGACTAAAACAGGACTAAACCAGGTCTAAACAAGGACTAAAACAGGACTAAACAAGGACTAAAACAGGACTAAACAAGGACTAAAACAGGACTAAACAAGGACTAAACTAGGACTAAAACAGGTCTAAATAAGGACTAAACTAGGACTAAAACAGGTCTAAATAAGGACTAAACAAGAACTAAACCAGGTTTAAAACAGGACCAGGATTTAACTGGGACTAAGTCAGGACTCTGCCCACTGTAAAGGTGTAGACTCCACAGACTGGACTAATCAGGGCTAAACCTGGTCTACACAAGGACTAAAACCAGGTCTAAACAAGAAATAAACCAGCTCTAAACAAGGACTAAACCTGGTGTAAATAAGGACTAAACCAGGACTAAACCAAGACTAAACCAGGTCTAACAAGACCTAAACAAGAACTAAACCAGGTCTAAAACAGGACCAGGACTTTACTGGGACTAAGCCAGGACTCTGCCCACTGTAAAGGTCAGACTCCATAAATCTGACTCCAGAATCCAGTGAGCGTCAAACCTTTTCACAGCAGGAGAAGAGTTCACACTGGTTTGAGTGAAGCTGCATCTACAAATGTTTCACCTCCCAAAAAAACAAAAACTTTTTGCTTTTGTTGTCGCTCCACATACAAAATGTTCACTGCAAACTCAGGATGATTTCTTAGTCAGACAAATGTTTCCTTTTTGGTTCTTCCTGTGGATCAATCCTGCCCATCACCTTCACCTTTCACTATTTTTCAATTCCGTTGGGAAGAGAAACAGTTTGAACAGAGGTTTTCAGTCACACACATCTGATTCCCAAACTTTCGCAAACTTCCGAAGCCCGTTTCTCGAGTCGTTTTCCGCCGTTAGGACATGCAATTTCTTATGATAAAAATGATGGAAAAAAACTAAACCCATAAAATAAGCAAAGTCCGAGCTTTAAACTGTTTTGATGTGACATGAATCCAACTTCTATTGTTCTACTCCAGTTTTATATTTAAGCAGAAAGAGTTTGAGTCACTTCTGTTCATGAAAAGCCTTAATGGAGTAAATGAGTAAAGTTCTTTTATTTTATTCATTCTTTTTGTTTTTTTTTTTTTTTTGGGAGGTGAAACATTTGTAGATGCAGACTTTCCGACAGTGCAGCTTCACTCAAACCAGTGTGAACTCTTCTCCTGCTGTGAAAAGGTTTGACGCTCACTGGATTCTGGAGTCAGATTTATGGAGTCTGACCTTTACAGTGGGCAGAGTCCTGGCTTAGTCCCAGTTAAGTCCTGGTCCTGTTTTAGACCTGGTTTAGTTCTTGTTGAGTCTGTGTTTAGTTCTTATTTAGACCTGGTTTAGACCTGGTTTAGTTCTTGTTTAGACCTGATTTAGTCCTGGTTTAGTCCTTGTTTAGTCCTGATTTAGTCCTGGTTTAGTCCTTGTTTAGTCCTGGTTTAGTCCTGGTTTAGTCCTTGTTTAGTCCTGGTTTAGACCTGGTTTAGTTCTTGTTTAGTCCTTGTTTAGTTCTTGTTTAGACCTGATTTAGTCCTGGTTTAGTCCTTGTTTAGTCCTGGTTTAGACCTGGTTTAGTCCTTGTTTAGTCCTGATTTAGTCCTGGTTTAGTCCTTGTTTAGTCCTGATTTAGTCCTGGTTTAGTCCTTGTTTAGTCCTTGTTTAGTCCTGGTTTAGTCCTGGTTTAGTCCTTGTTTAGTCCTGGTTTAGTCCTGGTTTATTTCTTGTTTAGACCTGATTTAGTCCTGGTTTAGTCCTTGTTTAGTCCTGGTTTAGTCCTTGTTTAGTCCTGGTTAATCCTGGTTTATTTCTTGTTTAGACCTGATTTAGTCCTGGTTTAGTCCTTGTTTAGTCCTGGTTTATTTCTTGTTTAGACCTGATTTAGTCCTGGTTTAGTCCTTGTTTAGTCCTGGTTTAGTCCTGGTTTAGTCCTTGTTTAGTCCTGGTTTAGTCCTTGTTTAGTCCTTGTTTAGTTTAGTCTTTTAGTCCTTGTTTGTTTAGTCCTTAGTCTTGTTTAGTCCTTACTTGTTTAGACCTGATTTAGTCCTGTTTAGTCCTGGTTTAGACCTCTTTATTTCTTGTTTAGTCCTGATTTAGTCCTGGTTTAGTCCTTGTTTAGTCCTGGTTTAGTCCTGGTTTAGTCCTTGTTTAGTCCTGGTTTAGTCCTTGTTTAGTCCTGGTTTAGTCCTTGTTTAGTCCTTGTTTAGTCCTGGTTTAGTCCTGGTTTAGTCCTTGTTTAGTCCTGGTTTAGTCCTTGTTTAGTCCTGGTTTAGTCCTGGTTTATTTCTTGTTTAGACCTGATTTAGTCCTGGTTTAGTCCTGGTTTAGACCTCGTTTATTTCTTGTTTAGTCCTAGTCAGTTTGAACGGAGCTTTGAGTCACACACATCCGATTCCCTTTTGCATTTATGGAGTTCGCAAACTTCCGAAGCATTTCTCGAGCTGTTTTCCGCTGTTAGGATCCAACGACCACACAAATACGATGTCTGAATCCAAAAACTAAAATATGACAATATCAGAACCAGAAACAAAAGCGATGTGGTTCAAAACACTTGAAAAAATCGACTTTGACAATAGACACATCCCACTGGGAAAACAAACACAGAGGTTTGATGCTCACTTTTTCGGGGGACCCTTCCTAGTATTGCACAATGAGCAGAAGTCTGAAATTCGAGATGCTTGTATTTACCCGGGACAGTCCCAGTTTTGAGCCCTGCGTCCACTGTCCAAGCAGATTTATCGAAAACCAGTAATTTGTCCTAGTTTTATACAAGAAATGTCCCAGGAGTCAGTAAAGAGAGACGTACATGTGTCATTTGTTTAGGTAAAATACAGAAAAGATGCTTAAAAACAACAAAAACACAAAGAAAATGTGACAACCCTGAGTCACATGACATAAATAATAAACCGGAAGTCTGAAATTCGTGATGCATGTATTATCAATAACCTTATCAATAAATCCTTAACAATACACATTTCTACTTTTGGCTACAGTTTTAGTTACTTCTGGGTCCGGTCAAGTGGTAACGGAGGGAAACGGCTGGAAAAGTAACTGTAATCCAATTACCACTCACTGAAACAGTAACTGTAACTGAATACAGTTACTCATAATTTGTACTCTGATTACATAACTCCAGTACATGTAATCTGTTACTCCCCAACACTGATGATTTTACATCATTTGTCGCTTTTTTCTTCCGAATACTTTAATATTACTTCAAAATGAAAGGAAACTATTTCTATAAAATATGTCAGTTCTTCCAAGCAAATTTTTATCATTTTAAATACTTTTTCTTTTTGAAAAATCCTGTACCTTCATCAACAGTTCAAAGATGGAATAACACAAGATATGATGAAATACATCCATTTATTTACATGATTTTTTGGGTCTTTGAAATTTGGGAAATAATTTTTGTTCCATGTTTCATTCATGGTCTGTTTAAAACGTATGTAACTTTAGAACCAAAAATGGTACAGAAAAAAGGTCAACAGTTTCATAAACTAGAGTACATATGTATCTGTTCAATACATTTTTATATCAGATGAATTAACTTGAATTTTTGGCCTTGATGTTTACTTCTGCTTGACCGGGCCCAACTATTACTTTGAAAAATAATATATATATTTTTACATTTATTATTTTAAAAAACATAGAACATTTTAATAATAAACGTGCCTTTTGTCCGTTGTTCTTCACAGGGATCTTGTACGGCACCATGACCCTGGAGCTGGGAGGTCAGATCACCATCACCTGTGAGAAAACCGGGTACAGCGCCCAGCTCGAGTTCAAGCTCAAGGTACGTTTGAAATACTCAACAACAAACAATATCTGTGCTTTTCATTTGGATTTTTACATTTATTTTACTTTTACATATTCATTTTGTCCCTGCCCCAAACCAAAAACTCACTTCAACCTCCGACGCGCAGAGACAGGTATTTGTACCAACCAGTTTTAGTCGCTTAGAAACAAAATAGATTAGAAGAGTCCAACCTGTTCCAAGATTCATAGATTATTAGACTAAACCCGGACTAAACCAGGACTAAACCAGGACTAAACCAGGACTAAACCAGGACTAAACCAGGACGAAAGGACTAAACAGGACTGAACAAAGACTGAACCAGGACTAAATCAGGACTAAATCAGGACTAAACCAGGACGAAACCAGGACGAAATTAGGATGGAACCAGGGCTAAACCAGGACTAAACCAGGACTGAACAAAGACTGAACCAGGACTAAATCAGGACTAAACCAGGACTAAAACCAGGACGAAACCAGGACGAAATCAGGGCTAAATCAGGACTAAAACCAGGACTAAATCAGGACTAAAACCAGGACTAAACCAGGACGAAATCAGGGCTAAATCAGGACTAAAACCAGGACTAAAACCAGGACTAAATCAGGACTAAAACCAGGACTAAACCAGGACGAAATCAGGGCTAAATCAGGACTAAAACCAGGACTAAAACCAGGACTAAATCAGGACTAAAACCAGGACTTAACAAGGACTAAACCCGGTCTAAACCCAGACTAAACCCAGACTAAACCCGGACTAAACCCGGACTAAACCAGGGCAAAACCAGGATTAAACCGGGACTGAACCGGAACTTAACCATCACGAAATAAGGACTGAACCAGGACTAAACCAGGTCTTTACCAGAACTACATCAGTATTAAGGACTAAACGAGGACTAAATTAAGATCCTTGGAAGACCTTTTTTGACTTTATATTCAGTTTTGACTCTTGACGACTCCCCGGCCGCGTACAAGTTCAGTAGACTAAACCTCATATCTCCTTCCCTTGTCTCCTCCGATGCTTCCTTCTGTACCTCCTCGTGTCGTCTCCTCCTCCCTCACGCCCTCCTCCTCTCTCTCTCTTTCTCTCCTCAGCCGTTCTTGGGCAGCAGTGACTGTGTGAACCAGTTTTCAGGAAAAATAAAACTGGGCAAAGAAGTTCTGGCCACACTGGAAGGACACTGGGTAAGAAACACGAAACCAGACTTTTTAAATCATTCACACTGAAGAGAAGGGAGAAAAATGTCAAGTTTTATTCAACACTTAAACTCAAAACGTGTCTTTTTCATTGTAGAGGTGCCGATTTTCTTGACTTGCCTGAAATATTCCACAGTACGGCATTACACTTTACACTGTCACTTGGTCTTGTGGCATTTTAGGGCCTGTTTACACGAGAACGTTTGCGGGTAAAAATGACAAAATATTTTATCGGAAGTGCCTTTCGTTTAGACATGTCAAACTCAGGCCCGGGGGCCAAATTTAGCCCGCAGTATAATTATATTTGACCCGTGAGATCATATCAAATCTTTATTACAGCTGATAGACTATAGAGACATTATTTATTTAAAATTTTGTTATTATTTTTTATATTCTGCTTGTTCTGGTTTCAATGTTTAAGCAAAACTCTTATTAAACATTTATTTTAATAAGAAAAGGTTTAACTAGTCTTAGTGACAAATAGTCCGATGAGGTTCATTTGGTCTTTGGTCTGATATTTTATGTTATTAGGTTCTTTTTTCAGACCATAGGTTTGTTTTCATACCTGACAGTTTCGACTGATCACTAGCGTCTTCCTCAGAGTCACGTGATGTTTCTGTGACGTGTCCGATCAGCTGGTTTAAACAGGTTTTGGTGCTGCCTTCCTACCGGTGGAGGCAGGGGGGGAAACAGCGAAGGCGAAACACGAGCAACTAACACAAAGCAGAACAGGAACAACTCAAATCGTCCATTTCTGAGCCCTGTGAAAGAGAGAAGCACATTCTGGATTGAGACGGAGCAAACATCATCGGGACAGAGGAAAACAAACATCGCCGCTGGATTAAAGAGGCAATTGAAAAGACGGACACGTGCTCACAGGACGATAAACCGGGTCGAGGGGCTTTTTTACTCTCACACACCTGGGATACTGTCCTGAGGAAGTGGGACTGCAGGTGGCGCTGTCGTCCTGCCTCCACCGGTAGGAAGACAGAACCATAATGTGTTTAAATCAACTGAGCGACACGTCACAACAACATCACGTGACTGAGGAAGACCACAGTGATCAGTCCAAACTGTCAGGTATGAAAACAAACCTATGGTCTGAAAAAAGAACCTAATAACTTAGTGACAAATGTTGGGGAAGTGTGGACTTGTGGGCGACCAGACTCAGATATTTTGGAACTGCCCCAATATAAAATGTTTCTGGATTGATGTTAAAGATGTTCTACAAAACATTTTGGCTGTGGACCTGTTGATGGACCCAAAGATCTTTCTGCTTGATACATTTCCTGATGGTCTTTCTCATGATCAGTGTTTTCTGCCGCATCTTCTTCTGTTGACTGCAAGAAAAATGATCACGATCTACTGGCTGAAACCTGAAACACCGACTATTGATCAGTGGAGATCAAAAATCAGACAAGTTTATACAGTGGAACTGTTAACAGCTCAACTACCAACTTTTGAAAAGAAATGGAGCCCAATTATTGACTTTTTCAAATAAGACACGTATGCCCTAATATGCCCTATTTTTTATGTTTTTTTTTTTTTTTTTTTTTTTTTTTTCTCTTTTCTTCTTCTAGAGGAGGGAAGAGAGGAAAAAAGACTGAATATATAAATTGTGTGAAGATCCGGTCTCAGGACACTGTTGATCCGAATTGATTTGTGGCAATAAAAGTAAAAAAAGAAAAGGTTTAACATTACATATCTCGAAGGAAGAGAAAACATGCAGATGTTGTTGAAATTTTCAATAAATATTTAGTTTGGCCCACGACTTAGCCTCAGTTTTTAATTTTGTCCTCTGTGAATTTGAGTTTGACATGTCTGACAGTCCATCAGTAATCAATACAAAATACAAAAGAGTGAATCGGTGCTGAACTTAAATTAAAAGTGTTTTTCTTTTCCCTTCCAGGACAGTGAGATCTTCATAAACGATAAGAAAACAGGCGCCATGGAAACTTTCTTCAACCCGACTCCAGACCTGAGGCAGAACCGTCTGACGAGGTGCACGGTGCCGCCGGAGGAGCAGGGAGAGTTTGAGTCTGAGAGGTACGAAAACTTACACTTCAAATTTAATTAAATAGATATATGTATATATATATATATATATATATATATATATATATATATATATATATATATATATATATATATATATATACTTTTTGTGCTTTATTTAGGCTAATTTGGAACTTATTTTATAGTCAAATATAATTGAGAAAATGCTATAAAATGTTAAATATTCTTATAAATAAATCACATCCAACACAAATTCCAATAAAATTAAACTTTTAATTGAAATTGGGGCTGATTTTTCATGTAAAAAACATTTTGTCTTTCAGTACAGATGTTTTGTAAAAGCAGCACTTGGGGTTAAAATATTAGATAGAACTAAACCAGGACTAAACCAAGACTAAACCAAGACTAAACCAAGACTAAACCAGGACTAACGTTGGACTGAACAAGGGCTAAACCAGGACTAAACCAGGACTAAACCAGGACTGAACTAGGACTAAACCAAGACTAAACCAGGACTAAACCAAGACTAAACCAAGACTAAACCAAGACTAAACCAGGACTAACGTTGGACTGAACAAGGGCTAAACCAGGACTAAACTAGGACTAAACCAAGACTAAACCAGGACTAAACCAAGACTAAACCAAGACTAAACCAAGACTAAACCAGGACTAACGTTGGACTGAACAAGGGCTAAACCAGGACTAAACCAGGACTAAACCAGGACTGAACTAGGACTAAACCAAGACTAAACCAGGACTAAACCAAGACTAAACCAGGACTAAACCAGGACTAACGTTGGACTGAACAAGGGCTAAACCAGGACTAAACCAGGACTAAACCAGGACTGAACTAGGACTAAACCAAGACTAAACCAGGACTAAACCAAGACTAAACCAGGACTAACGTTGGACTGAACAAGGGCTAAACCAGGACTAAACCAGGACTAAACCAAGACTAAACCAGGACTAACGTTGGACTGAACAAGGGCTAAACCAGGACTAAACCAGGACTAAACCAGGACTGAACTAGGACTAAACCAAGACTAAACCAGGACTAAACTAAGGCTAAACCAGGACTAAACTAAGGCTAAACCAGGACTAAACCAGGACTAAACCAAGGCTAAACCAGGACTAAACTAAGGCTAAACCAGGACTAAACCAGGACTAAACCAAGACTAAACCAGGACTAAACTAGGACTAAACTAAGGCTAAACCAGGACTAAACCAAGACTAAACCAGGACTAAACTAGGACTAAACTAAGGCTAAACCAGGACTAAACCAGGACTAACATTGGACTAAACAAGGGTAAAACAAGGGCTAAACCAGGACTAAACCAAGACTAAACCAGGACTAAACTAGGGACTAAACTAGGACTAAACCAGGACTAAACCAGGACTAAACCAAGACTAAACCAGGACTAAACTAAGGCTAAA